ATGTCATTCACATGCAGTTAACGTTTATTTACACTTCCAAGTGAGTTGATAGCTAGCTTTGAACCTAACTTGGTTCAATATTTGGTTGTACGAGCACACGAGACCAAATCGGTCAATATCAAATCCTTCCTACACCCCGCAGTACCTCTCTTATATCCACGACTAACTCTTCTCACATTACCTTATCTCACTGACAGTTGCGTCTCTGTGCTGATGGGGCATGGCAACCTGATCTGATGTACTTACCTACGAAGTTCTGCGTTGTATCAGTCTGTCTTTCTATTGGTTGAGACTGTTCAAAAGAAACTCTCTGCTGAGAATAGTCAAGAAACAAAGAAAATCAAAATGACATAGTCTCTCGATGCAACGAATTACATAGTGTATTTGATGATAAGCTGATAGAATGTATGAATTGGTGTTCACACATATCAGATTCTAGGTTCAGTTTGATTGACTGAATTTATGTATATAGTTCTGGAATATTATTAAGAAACAGTGTCACAAGTAAATAATCCTAAATAGATCATGTGTAAGAGAAGTTAAACAGTAAACAGTAGTTACAATGATCTTTTCCATTGAAATGTTGACAATCATCATAAGAATGAGCGAATAATATTTCAAGTCCTGTTGTTTAGTTATTTGTAATTAAGATTGGCTGTGGATGCAAATTGTTAGAATGATAGTTCTACAATGGTTCGGGTTGATTTTTCTGGTTAGTATTTTCGAAGCCTGTTGATTTGCGAAGAGATGGGTTCGCTGACACCAATGACCAACCGTTCTACTTTATGCGGCCTTAGGAATGGTGGTAACCCCAGAGGGGCTTCAGGCGGAGTTATAGTTCTACAATACAAAATGATATTAGTTATTTAACCACTGGAAACCAGGAAGTACTCAACATCTATTTTTATCATAGTATTAGACATCGAATATTTTGTGAACCGTTGAGAGTGTTTAAACTTCAGAACATTGAGTTTGAAAATTCTTTCGGAAGATAGAATATTTTTAATCATAGCACCTTCAACTGAACACAGTAAAAGAAGAACGAATTCAGTGTAGATTGTAGTCAAAACAATTTCAATGATTCATGATAATAAGGTGAAACCATCAGTGTAATAACCTACGGTGGAAAAGAACAAACCAGATTCAATGAGAGGAAGAAATCAGGAAAAAAACTCTGGAGATGAATAGGACATATGTTGAGGAAAGTACCCAACTACGTCACAAGACAAGCCCTAACTCTTAGAATCCTCAAGGCCAAAGGAATAGAGGAATACCAAAGAATACATTACGCCGAGAATTGGAAACAGACATGAAAAGACTGAACAACAGCAGTCAGACAGGAAGGCCCAAGTAGCGTTGGAGAATTCCGGTCGGCGGTCTATGCTCCATTAAGGGTCGTAATAGACATAAATAAGTAAGTAGGTAATGATAATAAGTTATGAAACAATTAAAATTTAAATTTTTTCGTACAATGTTTCATTTTTTACCCCCCTTTATTCAATTATAAGCTGATAATACAGTGAAATGGTGGAGAAAATTTGTAACTCCGACAGATGATAATACTGTTTCTTCTATGAAAAATAAAGAGCTGACAATTAGAAAGTTTCATGATTAGACAATTCAAACTCAAAGAATAGTTATGTCGTTTCATTGAAATTTGGAAATATATATATTTGCTGTATTTATTATATGATTAATTTTGGAGGTTTGCGTTTTTACACATTTGAAATCATCAGTCAATCATTGTTAGACCACCATTAGAAACCTGGAAGCACTGGACGGCCGTTTCGTCCTGGTATGGGACTCATCAGCAGTGCGCATCCACGACTCCTGCTCCTCGCACGATTCGAACCCGGGACCTTTGGCATTGTAGGCGAACGCCTCACCATCGGACCACTGGGCCGGCATCCAAGGGTCCCGGGTTCGAATCCTGCGAGGAGCAGGAGTCGTGGATGCGCACTGCTAATGAGTCCCATACCAGGATAAAAGGGCCGTCTTTGAGTGCTTCCAGGTTTCTAATTGTGGTCTAACAATGATTGATTGATGATTTCATATATGTATGATTAATGCTTTCAGCATACATTTTGGTGAAATTGACCAAAACTTTATTTTGTATTAACAAACATATTCTGAATATAAATCATTTCGATAATAAACTCATTCAATCTTTTCTTATTTACTGGACAGATGTTACATACATTAAGCATATCTCACATATACATCTGTTATTATGCTAGAATACCATTCGGTCATTTCTTTTGTCAGAGAGAGAGAGAGATAATCTATTTCCTTACAGAATATGTTAAATATATTTGTTATAAGTAGTAAGTAAAATTTACATTTTAAAGTTCTTTGAAGATATTGATAAACAATGAATTAAGTCAAGCAGTAGTTAAGTTCATTTTTTTGCATTTCTATACACACCGAAATAAGTAGTATATGCATCAAGGAACTAAAAGCAAAGGAGAATTTCAATTAAAAAAAATTAATGATATAACATTCTAATGAATAAATACAATGTTGAACAAAGCACATTGGAATATTTATTGAAATAGGCGAAAATCGGCAGTTCAAATCCGGTGAGGTGCAGGAGTTATGGATCCGCGCTACTGATGAGTCCCATACGAGGACGAAATGGCCGTCCAGTGATTCCAGGTTTCTAATGGTGGCCTAACATTGATCAATTCATGATTTCAATAAGTAACTAACGATGAAATCCATTTTGACTGATTATAAAAATAAAATATTTGAATAGAAAACTTCGAATAGCACGAGGGAATCTAGGTGTAGCAGTGATTGACGTTCATTTCACCATAGTCGAAGAGTGTTATTTCTTATATATTATAACTGTGAATCAAAACTATATTATTAGGTAATTCGAATTTCATAGTGATAACTTTTTGAAAGAATAACTGCGTCTGGAACTCATCTAGGGTTATTGCCGGTCCTAAGCCCGCATTAAGGAGTTAGCGACCCCATCCTGTAGAAAACCAACACGCTTCAAAAACGCTAACCAGAAAAAATAATACTGATCAGTAACCTATGCTCCACCATTAAAGAGTAAAAGGCATAAGTTTTGACACAACATAAATTCAATTCTTCAATGAAATCGCCAAACACAAAAGCCCACGCAATTTAACTATTACGCCATAATGAATAAGGCTGATATATTAGTGATTTCTCTCTCTATATATATATTTCAATATTTTTTTGTTTGTGATAGTATATCAACGATAATTGAATGTAGTTTATTTACTACACAACAATGAAATGATATAATTTAATTCATTGGTTAGGGAGGGGGGCATTTAATGGAACAAAATACATACATACATTAGTCAGGAGAGTAATAATTATAATCGTATGTAAATCAACATTGTTAATGTAATGGAAAAGATGTTGTTGTGAACTGCACAGAAAGAACAAGAAAAAACAAAACAAAACAAGTCAATTGATAAAGAAGAAGTGTGTGTGTGTGTAGACAGACAAGTCGAAAAACGTGAATGAATATAAATAACTGTAACACACGTTTTTCAACGAATAATAATATAAAAACAAACAAGGAGGCAGAAAATCATGCGTTGTAATAATAATTGTTGTACAAAATCACATAATTGTAGCGGGCGGGGGGCAGAAGGAGATACACAGGACAGTAATAATAATAATAATCCCGAAATCAGACAAAGAAAAAGCAAAAATATATATATATATATATCGAAAAATGTACACAGTAATTAATAACAGTAATAATAATAACAATACAAGTAGTTATTTGTGCAATAGTAGAGTTTCTCGTATAGTGAAAGACTTTTTTTGTGTTTGCGAGAGGCAAATGGATAAAGACAGAGAGAGAGCAATTATGAAATCAGTTTTTGGAAACAAACTGCCCAACGGAAGTAAAGTTGTCACTCACTCACTCACCACACATCAGGTATAGTCTAGTCAAGTATTAATTAACTGACAATCAATCGAGATGATACTGATCAAACCTATATAAGATGAGATAGATATGAGGGAAGGGAGAAAAAAAGGCAAGGTGCCGCCAACATTAGGACAAGCGAGCGCGCGCGCGCACGCACACTACCACAACAGGAGCAAAATGAATGAAATCAGAATACTAGATTTCTGTTTTTTTCTTAAGGAAGAGATCAACAAGTTCACGTATGTACTTTGTGCGTCTCTAAAACGATTATTAAATAAGACAGAAGTTTTATTATCTTGAACAAAGTATATACTCAAGGTATGCAGCGTAATAAATGGCCACGAATAAATAAATGTCTCTCTTCATATGGGACAAATTGAAAACGGACAGGTAGAAAATTACGAAGGAGTATTAGACCACACATTGCGATATCAAAAGGTACCGTTTGAATTATTACTACAGAGGAATACAATGAAAAATATAGGAACCATGGTGTAGAAAGTAATAAGACAATTAGCAACAACAACAACACAAATAACTTCTTTTTGTGTGTGTTAATTACAGCCACGGTAACAGTAGACGAGGACGTTCTTTTTTTTTTTTTGAAGGGGAGTAGGTAGAAACAGAAGAAAAAAAAAGATTATACAGGGAAGCGATAATTGAGAAAATATGAGAAAAATATTCGCTTCTGTTCTACATAATGAGATCAATACACTCTGATGAAATTGTAGATATAATTAGACAGATAATACATCGATAGAGAGAGAGAGAGGAGAAATACACATCGACAAAGAAGCATATGTACATTGAATATATATATATATATATATAGGTGTTAGTGATGTTTGTTAGATGTGTGTGTGTGTGTGAGTGTGCGTTTTGATCCTATATAAATAAGTAGTGAGTGTTTGTGATAGTTTAAAACAAAATGAAAGAAAAAATAATAATGAAGAATCAACACACAAAAAGTATCAAAGTGAAATGCAACAACAAACACTACAAGTTACATAATAATAATAATAATAGTAATAATCATAATGATTGTTATGATTATGTAATCTTGTATACAATAACAGTTAGTATTATTATTATTATTATTATTATTATTATTATTATCATGTTTTCAAAGTTGATTGATCTGAATTAGAATATAATAAGAAACTATGTAATTCTGTTGTTAAATGACCAAGTGCTTCAACCATTTTCGTAGTGAGTTGAGTTAAATGAGATAATTTTGCTTCTAAATTATGCAATTCCGAAGTGACAAATGTTGATGTAGTCGATGGATGACTAATGCTAACACGACGTAGAACTGGACCAGTTTGTAAATCAATTAATGCTAAACGATGATAAAGATGTATTGTTGACAAGAATAAAAAACCCAAACTAGAGAGAGAGAAAAAAATTAAAAAGAATAAAAAAGAGAAAAAAATTGATGATGATGATAATTTAGGGGTTTTTACTGCACAAAACTTTAACACATAAAATAATTCAAAGTTTATATACTAATTTGTGAATGACACATACATGTGGATTAGGTGAATAGTTAACTGAGTTAATGTAGGTCTAATTTTAAGTTTGTTCATTGGCTTAAGAACTCACTGTAGCAGACAACATCCCATCGAGTCAGTCTGTTATTGAATTAATATGTAGGACCTTGAATGAATGTGTACTAATCAAGGTTATCATGGAACGTCAGTACGGTGAGAAGAAATGAACGCCGGACTACTTCACTAGTTTACGTTCTGTTGCAACTCAATCTTGAAGTCAGCCAGTTGCAACGTAGAATTACGTACGTATGTACATAAGTTCATGTTGCCATACCACATTAGCACAGAGACGCAAATGTCAAATCAAATCCCATGGTGATAAAGATAGTTGGGGGTATTAATGGTAATAAAGAAGACAAGGGTTTGAAGATATTATTCAAAAAGTATAATTCAGTGAGATAAGGTTAGAAAGACAAAGGTAGAGGTGCTGACGAATCCATACGATTAGTATTTGAGAGAGCTCAAAGAATGACTGAGTTAATGTAGGTTCAATTTTATGTGTGTTTATTGACTTAAGAATTCACTGTAGCAGAAAACATTCTATCGAGTCAGTTTGTTATTGATTTAATATGTAGGACTTGAATAAATGTGCACTAATCAAAATTTTCATGGAACGTCAGTACAGTGAGAAGAAATGAACTAAATGAATAGAGAAAAAAATAAAATCATGTAGCAGTAGTAGTAGTAGTAGTAGTAGTAGTAGTAGTAATGGTAATGAGGAAGACTAATCATCGAGAATATGGTTCTAAAGGACAAGAAGAAAAGATTTAAGAGGTCAGCATTTAGGAGAAGATGAAGCATGTATGAAGCTGGTCCGTTGAGGTAAAGTGTGATCTCCCTGACGTAATGTTTCCAACTACTGATTGTGGTTACTATGCGGACCCCAACCAGACAGTCTACATCTAACTCACAGTTCAGTTTAATGGTCAATAACTTAGTGGGCTGATGCCATGCCTTGGTTTGGCTGCCACTATCTTTATTTCAACCTAGTTTTTTGGTCAGCAAGTATCAACTGTCGAGGTAGTTCATGGTTAGACATTGGCTCTTTAATCGATGATGATTTATAGCCTCACAAACCTCAACATTGCCAACTTGATTGTTCCATGAGACGAGAGAAATGCTTCGAAAAAAGCGATGATTTAAAACTTGTAGCATATGTATGTCTTCTAACTACACAAGCCATATTTGGTAAGCATGAAGTAAAATAGAGATAACTATTGAGCAGTTTTTCATTTATTGAAACAAAACTGTCGATAAAAAAAGATCACATAAATATTTATGCGCTACACAAATTACTGAGTTTGTGAGTGGTTTGAGATGTTGCTCGAGTTTCCAAACGGAAGGTGTTCAGTAGTATACTCGCCCTTTGGTTTGTAGATAGACATCTTGCCTAAGCTACGAAAGACGTAAGTTAGGAAACATCCACCAAGCTCTTTGTATATATAGAGAGATTTCATTAGACTATAACTCCAAACTAGCTGCTCTATTGTTCAAATAAGTGTTAATAGAATAAGATTTGAGATTACAAATAAGTGACTGGAATCACTACAATGTCGACCTTAAAGATCAATTCTACGAGAGACTGCAGTCAATCGTCAAGAGATACTCATTAAAGGATTTGACCAATCTGATGGGAGACCTAAATGCCAAGGCTGACATGGACAACACCGGATATGAAGACATCATGGGACGACATGGACTGGGAGAAAGTAACGAAAACGGTGAGAGATTTGTAAACCTATGTGCCTTCAACACACTGGTCATCGGCGGTACAGTATTCCTACACAAACGCATACGCAAAGTTACATGGATTTCACCGGACCACACTACTCAGAACCAAATCAACCATACATGTATCAATAAAAAATTCAGAAGGACCATGGAGGATGTGAGAACCAAGAGAGGAGCTGATATAGCTTCAGATCACCAACACTGGACAACGGGGCAGACAAGATCACAAAAATTTAATATGACCTTTCTTCGGGATACTGTAAAGCTTAACGAATTTACGATAGCCCTCAGCAATAGGTTCTAGGTCTTGCACGATCTATTCAATGGAGAGGAAACTACCTGAGAGAACAATTGAAAAGGGATCAAAGAGGTAATAACTTCTACATGTCAGGAGGTTCTGGGCTACAGGAAGTGCCATCATAAGGAATGTATCTCTGTTGGTACTGTTGATAAAATTGAAGAAAGGAGGAACAAGAAGGCAGAAGCAGAGAAAGCTAAAGCACAAGCTGAATAAACAGTAATAAACAAACAAGTGAAGAGGAGCATCCGAGCCGACAAACGTAAATATGTGGAAGATCTAGCAACGAAGGCGGAAAAGGCTGCAAGAGAATGAAACATGAGATAATTGTATGGTACGACAAAGAGGCTAGCTGGAAATTATCTTAAACCACAATGACCAGTGAAAAGCAAGGACCAGCCTCACTGAACCTACTGAACATCGAAGCAACACCAATCAACAATTGAAGAGAATGACATGGCCATCACACAAGTCAAGAGTGGTAAAGCGGAAGGACCAGACAACATAGTAAATGAAGAAATGAAAGCAGAGGTAGCAGTAACTGCAAAGATACTCCACATTATCTGCAACAAGATTTGGGATGAAGAATAGATATCGGGAAACTGGAAAGAAGGGTAACTCATCAAGATACCAAAGGAAGGCGATCTCAGCAAGTGTGAAAACTACAGAGGCATCACTCTTCTTTCAATACCAGGCAAAGTCTTCAACAGAGTATTGTTAAACAGAATGAAGGACTTCGTAGACGCCCAACTTCGAGATCAACAGGCTGGATTTCGTAAGGATCGATCGTGTACTGACCAAATTGCTACATTACGGATCATTGTGGAACAATCAATTGAATGGGACTCACCACTCTACATCAACTTCATTGAGTACGAGAAAGCATTCGATAGCTTGGACAGGAAAATACTATGGAGGCTTCTTCCTCAATAAGGTGTGCCTGATAAGGTAGTTAACATCATACGAAATTCTTATGATGGATTCAACTGCAAAATAGTGCATGGAGGACAGCTGACAGACTCGTTCGAGGTGAAGACCGGTGTCAGTCAAGGTTGCTTACGCTCATTTTTTCTCCTTCTCCTGGTGATCGACTAGATTATCAAAACGACAACATCTGGAAGGAAGCACGGTATTCAATGGACAGCTAGGATGCAACTGGACGATCTGGCTTTTCTACCTCACACGCAACAACAAATGCAAGAGAAGACGACCAGTGTAGCAGCAGCCTCGGCAGCAGTAAGTCTTAACATTCACGAAGGAAAAAACGAGATCCGCTGATACAGCACAACCTGCACCAACCGAATCACACTCGACGGAGAAGCTTTGGACGATATGGAAACGTTAACATATCTTGGAAGCATCAGTGATGAGCAAGGCGGATATGATGGAGATGTGAGGGCACGGACTGACAGCGCAAGGACAGCATTTCTACAATTAAACAACATCCACAACTCAAAACGAGTCTGTTAGTCAACACCAAAATCAAAATATTAAATATCAATGTCAAGACAGTCCTACTGTATGAGGCGGAAACTTGGAGGACTACGAAAGTCATCCTACGGAAGACACGAACATTTATTAACAGTTGTCTACGCAAAATACTTCAGATTCGTTGAACAGACATTGTCAGCAACAGCCTACTTTGGAAGATAATAAACCAGATCGCAGCAGAGGAAGAAATCAGAAAGAAGCGCTGGAACAAGGATAGAACACACATTGAGGAAAGCACTGAACTGCGTCACACAGCAAGCCCTAACTTGAGATCCTCAAGGTCAAAAGGAGAAGAGGAATGCCAAAGAACACAGACATGAGAAGAATGAAGAAAAAAATGGACAGAACTAGAGAGAAAGGCCCAGGACGGCGTGGATTGGAGAATGCTGGTAGGCGGCCTATGCTCCCTCCACTGGGAGTAGTGACAGGCGTACGTAAGTCTATTGATGAATAAGTTGTAAACTGGATCTCTTGAAATGTATGTACAAAAATAATCTATGTAATAAGTGTAATAATACTTACATTGCATATGCTATCATCATAGTAAATCTTTGTGAAGGAGATGTATTGAACATATAGGTAATCACATTAAATGGCCACCAATTCCAATCAGTTGAAATGGTAACATTTGATCTAGTGAAATTAGGCTTCGTATTACTATTATTAATATTGTTATTATTATTATTGACTGTTTCATTGTTATAAGTTTTATTATGCTGATTAACTGAATGATTATTATTATTATTATTATTATTATTATTGTGTTTCATAAGGATATTTGAAAGAGTTGGAGCAGAATATGCATTATTTACAATTGGTTTGTGAATAGGCTGAATGACATCATTAGATCCAATATCAACAGTGTTATTATTTGTCACTTCATTAGTTAAAGGATTGAATTCAATGAAAGATGATTTACGAATACCAAGATTGGAGGATTTACGAATAGACAATTCTGAAGTGGTAATAATAAATGAAAAATAAAAAAAACAAAACAATATCAATGTAAACACAGAAACAACATTCAAACTGATTCGATAATCTGAGAAAAAGTTTGAATTAGACTTAAAGTCACCTAATGTTACAACATGATAACATACTTTGGCTCAGTGTTTGAATTGTTTTCAATATGAACGTTGGTTATATGAAATGGATACTTTTCTATAATCGTAATTAGACAAGTAAAGTTAAGAATTTACGACTGAACAACTGACAATGATAGATAGATATCTTTTGTATACTCAATTGGATACCTAAATAATATTGATTAAATTTGTGATGTGTGTACACTAATCATGTTGGAGCCTACAAGGCTTAAACTAGCTTTCGGACAAACTGATTAACAACATTTCCTACCAGATTTATGATTAATATGTCTTTCAACCTCGTCAATCATTTGCTGATAACCTTTGTTTTTTGTTTATTCGAATACATAGGTATACATTTATGGATGTCAGATAATGATGTGGTACCTACCTATTGAATTGAATGTATCATTCGATTCCATTGACCAACAGGTTTTATGACAGTATCTATCACTTGAAAGGTATACTTAATCAACACATAAACTTTAAGAAGGTGTGTCTTGCTCGAACATTTTTCGTTGAGCCAGAGTTTATGTAGAACTGTCATCAGAAACGGCGACGTCAAGTGGTGTTCATCAGAGCTACTCACTCCATTTTATCTTTGTTATTTAGACCTTTTTTAGGGATAACATGATTTTATAACATTTAAAAAGTTGATCTCCTGCTAGGAGATTTCACTTATCGACTTGAAATGCGCAAATAATATGAGCCTATATAGTGATAACGCCGATAGAATAAAGCCTACTGCTACGTTTGAGTAACGATGCATGCAATTACGTTTAGGAAAGGCTTTTCTTTTTTACATAAAGCATATTACTTTGGAATCAGTCTACCTCCTTGGCTAGATTGATAATGTAGAGTGAAAACAGTTAAACGTGTCAAACATTTTATGCATCTTGAAAGTGTTATCAACCATTGTTAGTTATTGTCAGAAATTTCAGCACGGGCTGAGGTTTGATTGGCTTTTTTGCAGTTCACACCACCTGTGGTTTCGCAGAAATGTCTGTCTTCCAACCAAAGATAGAGTTTATTAAGCAGTAGTCTGATTTGTTTTACTGTATGTTCGTGAACGATTCCTTTCAAAAGTAGATGGAATACGTAGGACACAGATGTCATTAAAGCATCGTTTGTGTGTGGTGGAATCACTGAGCCAGTAATGTATAAGCTATGTGCAGAGCAGCAAGGAAAGTATGGTAAGTAGGCAGATAAGGTTGGGAATTTTATAACAACCTAAGTGTCTGTGATACCTACCAACCCATTCAACCAGTTATTACACATTTACGTCCAATTACCAGGTTATGAATAAAGTAACATTTTGTAAGACTTTACAGAAAACTCCATGATTTCGTCATTAATTACTAATTAATTGAAAGGAAAGAGCAGATACCGATATACGGCTTACAAGATTAACACAAACTCAAACTGAGTTCGAATATTTATGATTCCATGGACACTATCATATCAAGTCAAATTATTTTTTTCAAAAAAGTACAAGGATTTCACTAATACATCAGCATATCAGAAATCTATATTACACATAACAGTCAAGAATTGAATAACCTAGTTTATATATATATATATATATATATATATATATATATATATATAACTTTACTAGTTAACTAAACAAAATGATAAACGTTTAGTGGTTAAATTTTGCCTTGTTTAACGAATCACCCACATAAAAGTACAAAACTGAAGGCACATATATATATATATATATATATATATATATATATATATATATATATATATATATATTCTTATGGATGATAATTTAACGATCAGTTGACCAAGTGTAAATGCAAAAAAAATATTTTTTTGTAAGAGTACAAATAAGCTAAAATAGATTAACGCTAGTGTATTTTATTGAACCAATCAGGATAGTAAAAGTAACTTCAAAGTTATGCTGCGTGAATCAATGTGAACTACATCCAACAAATGAGTGATGTTTCATCAACTTGCATTATGCTTGATTTCCAAGGAGAAAATATTATCCAATAGATGAAACTGTATTCTGCACATATGTTATAATGCTGCTACGTATAGCTATTCAGTCCTAGCGGCGTCCAAATTCAATATCCCAGTACGACCCAAATACTATTTCGAAATCTCCTATATTTCAGAATGCAACACCGTTGGATGGAGTTGTTTATTGGGTCGAGTACAGAAGAGAGGTAGGCAGGAAGAAACGGAATCGGAATCATGGAGTTTTACAGATAGTGCGTATTTATACATTAAGGTCGAATAGGAAAGATCATCAAAGTCTGTGACATTGACAGTTTAGGACGACCAATAGGAAAGAACATTTGAAATGACATTGACAGTCCGGATGACCAATAAGAAACAACATTGAAGTATTTGACTTTGACAGTTAAAACTACCATAATTTCGACCAATAGGATTATACTTTCAAAAATAGTAAGTACTCTTAGGATATTTGGTGAATATCCGAACAACATACGACTGTGAAAGTCACTTTAAAAATGATGTGAAATTTTATCCTGTTTATTAGTCGATTAAAATGTAGCGTTTATAGTCACAAAAAAAACTATAGTTTATAGTCACAGAGTCATGTTGGTAGATGTAGACTACCTGGTTGGGGTCCGCGAGACCAAAATCACCAATGGTTAGAGACCTTGAACGACATGGCTCAAAATCGTTTGCAATGGCGCAGGTGCATCCACTCTTTGAGCTCTCTCAAATCCTAATCTTCTGGATTCGTCAGCACCTCTACCTTTGTCTTTCTAAACTTATCTCACTGAATTATATTTCTTGAATAATATCTTCGAACCCCCCTATTAACATCAATACCTCTACTATCTTTATCACTATGGGATTTGATTTGACATCTGCGTCTCTGTGCTCATGTGGTATGGCAACATGAACAGATGTACATACGTACGAAGTTCTACGTTGCAACTGACTGACTGACTGACTGTTTATGGTCACAGTTCAAATTAGATCACATATACACTAGCCATACACAGAAGTGAATCGTTAATCACAAATGCCTAGCTCATCATCCTTAAATCGAAAACTGTTACATTTTTAACTTTAATAATATCTAAGTCTCCAAAAACCTATAATTGTGAACTTCGATATGAAGCTTTCATTTTCACAGTTAGTTACAAACAAAATCTATAGACATAACTTGCAAAAAGTTCATTTCTCCTGTAGAAATAGTGAATTCCATTGTAGGTCTATGCATTTTTTTGTAATAATAATTAATGTATTCATATTTTGTGTATTAGTTTAAATTGTCAAAATGCAAATCAATACAACAAAAGTGTATGGTAAACACAGTAATATAAAATGAAAAACACAGAAGCAGATAAAGTACCATTTTTTTATGATAACTAACAAAACTTCAATGATGTATTTTGTCTTATTTGAAATTTATTCACTGTAAGATGTAGTAGCTTGGTTGTACACAACCACTAACAACTGATCAAATTTGAATTTCTAAACATAAATAATGAAAAAAAAATGCACAAATTAACAATTACTGGTCAATATAAACCAATGTTTACATACATTTATGCATATAAATTACTTACCTTGTTTTTTTACACCAACAACACTCTCTGTTTCACTATTACTAATACTTCCTGTGGCACCACCACTGGTACTTGTTAAACTAACAGTGGTTGAACCTTTTGATATGAGTAAACGATTGTACAGATCACTTATAATTGCATTTGGATGAGTTACAGAATTATTGCTATTATTATTATTATTCAGAAGTAATCTGTTAGCTGGTGAATTTCCATATGGTGAAGAAAAACTCTGGAAAGAGGAAAGAAAAAGGAGTAGAATGTAATGTAAAATACATAAACATGTACAAACTGTCCCAACATAGTCATTCTTACTAATGATACGAAAGAATTAACATGTTTTCCTTCCTTTGAGAAAGTTTGATGCCAATCGGTACTAAGAACTTATCTCAATTCAGAGTTATTGACGGTATTCACTAGGTTTTTTGTTCAATAGGTATCTGAAGATTGTTATCACGGAGAATTTTCATTCCATTAAGGTATAGGTTTAAAGAAATTTAGTTGAGAAACGTTATAGAAATTTTTTTTCATACACATACTTGTTTCTTAAAGTACGCATGAATTAGTAGTAAAGTGCACTGATTCACCTTTAATTCATTTTGAAGATCGGTTGGTTTTATAGTTTGAATTTTGTTTATTCGTAGAATAACTCCATTTAAATTGTGACCTAATTCTTTCTGAGATTTTACTTTTCAAATCAATCAACAGCAATGCAGAACTTCGTACGTAAGTACGTACATCAGTTCAAGTTGCCGTAATACATTAGCACAGAGATGTAATTGTCAATTCAAATCCCATAGTGGTAGACATAGTAGGAGTATTACTGGTAATGGAAAAGATTAAGATTTGAAGATATTATTCAAGAAGTAGAATCTAGTGAAATAAACTTGAGAAGAAAAAGATAAAGTAATGAGGAATTAAGAAGGTTAGGGTTTGAGAGAACACAAAGAATGAATGCACCTGCGCCATTGCAAACCGTTTTGAACCATGTCATTCAGGGTCTCTAACCATTGATTATGATCATCTCGCAGACCCCAACCAGGTAGTCGACAACTACCAACATGACTCAATCCACTTGTCAGTGACTTTATGGATTTGTGCCATATTTTGGTCTGGCCGCCACTATGTTTCTTCGAACCTATTCCTACAAGGCAAAACATAGCTCGACGAGGCAGTCGGTTTCCTGTTTCCAAACCGTTGGTGCACATGGGCTACAGGATCCTGAAAGACCGAATGGTGCACGAACATACTCTAAGCCACTAGCTTAAATGAGACCGAACCTTCTGACGTTGCTCCACTGCCTCGTAAAATGAACTTCTAGGTCAAACACTTGGCAAGTGGCCCCTAAGAAAACTACATACTTTGGCCTGGACACTCAGACAGTATCGTAACCTGCATACAACTATAATGATAAGCATCAATAACTAAAACATATCTGCTTGTTATCATTGCCTAAACTGAAAACTGTTAAAACTGTTTAATTAACCATTCATTCAGGCGAGGAACAACTTTAGCACAGTAATCGAAAATGGGCTGCTTGGTGCCCCACCTCGAAAACTTAGGTCTGGACTTAAATTGATCATATTGCAATCAGCTGCCACTGGAGTGGTTGCATACAAGAATGTTAACCCTTTATGAAGTACTTATATGTACTATGATCATGTATACGTTTGTGTCAATCATTTTTTACTTTTTAGTACCCAAGAAATTTATCCTCCTAAACGGACTGACATAAGCAGATTGGTTGTAGCCTTCGTTACAACCAAATATCGAACCAAGTTAGGTTCAAAGCTAGCTATCAACTCACTTGGAAGTGTAAATAAACGTTAACTGCATGTGAATGACATCATGAAAATAAAGAGTGAAGTCTCTGGTGGCCTCGTGAAATATCTTGTTTATAAGCACTGAGTCCCCACAGGCGTAAATCAACGGGGTTTCATGACGTTTCGTGAGCTTGCATTGTTTTCATTAGCTGTGCAGTGTGATAAAGGAATGTGAGAAGAGTTAGTTGTGGAGATAAGAGAGGTACTAGGGGGTGTAGGAAGGATTTGATTTTGGCCAATTTGGTCTCGTGTGCTGGTACGGATATAAGAGCGGTCGTCACTTCCCGGCTGCCCACACCGTGGAAGGTTGTTTCTTGAAGGACCTGAAAAGGAAGATAGATTAGTGTTGGTCTTAGAGACCTGGAAGCGTGACCGCAGAGCCCAGGGGACAACTCCTTTAGGCCGGTCACGCACGGCCTTTTGATAAAGGGTTTTTTGAGTATTAGCTCCGCTCTTAAAAGCCCTTAGTGGGCACCCTTACCACCGGCGACGGAAATCCGTGAGGTAGGGTAAGTTGTGACATTTTTAGGGTCGACCTTTTCTAACCCTTCCTTCCTTGTGAGAAGGCACATCGCTGCAGATGCTGGTTGTCCGAGGGAAACACCTTACTGCTGTCACACCCCTCTGCAGTCAGTAGTACGACCTCGCCCTCAGACTTTGGGTAGCTGCTTTTAGTCTCATCGTTCTCCAATCGACCTACCTGGCATGGTAGAACCTTCAGGAGCATATGTTCCAGCCAGTATAGCTCGATTGGGTCATCACGATAGTCAAGCCCGACAACCACGTCAAGGTATCAGCTACGGTCGGGACTGAGTCCCCACAGGCTTTTTAAAACTCATTTGGACACACCAGTCTACTCCAGCTAACTACGAGTTTTACGATAAACGTATATTCTTTCATAAGAAAATTGTGTAAAATGTGTTTAGGAAACTTTACATCAACAACTTGTGAATTGAGTTCATTTACTTCAGAATGGATATTCAGTAATACATCGTTTTACAATGGCAAGTATTTCTTGCATAGTAGTAAATTAACTAGTTGCATACCAGAAAGATTTTTTTTACTTTAAGCAATAATATTATTTAGTAACACCATCCACCAAAATTATCACATGTTCATCATGTTTCAGGTTGAATGTGTGTTTAAGTTAACGCCCTTTTATTCTTATTTTAATTTTACTAAACAACCAATACCGAGTTTTGTCATTCGTGACTTCTTTTACCATAAAAACTCGGTGAATAAATAATGAACTAACCAAGTTTACACAAGGTGAATATATAGCATGTATCAATAACATTATGCATATTATTATTATTGGTAGTAGTAGTAATATATTTTGAATGATTATTTTTTGTGATTGAAACAGTATGCAGAAAAAGATGTACCTTGTTGAAACATATGAAAATTGGGTATCAATAAAAACTTTTGATTTGTCTACTATAAGGTATATAAGACATAAATACGCTAGAGAAAAATATTTATTTAAACACAAAAATAATTACATATCACTATTGACCCTGTTTAAATAATCTGAAAAAAAAATTTTAGACTATTGACTACATCATATGGTTTAGATTGTAGTTAATTGGTGTGGAATTCAAACATGTGATCTTCTTATTTGGCATTCAATAGTAGTTATATTACCAAATAGATTGTAGAACATTTTCAAGAAGATAGCATAGATTTATTAACTGTTAACTGACGATAAATATAATTTCTTATATGGTGTAATGGATTTCCGGCAGTTGAATTTGAAAATTCAACTTGCCAGTGAAAAGACAGATAAATTGATGTGAAACTTCAAGTAAAAGCCTATTATGTATAAAATATCATATTTCAGAACAATTGAGAAAGATAAATGAGAATATGCTAAAATTTAGGGTTATGGATTGAGAATGAAAATATTTAAGCGATAAAGTTTATATGGCTTCAACATAATTGAACGACAAGAAAGTGAAGTGTTGATACTCTGCTTAATTTTGTACATATTCTATCGACCAACATAGGAATAGAGTCAAATAACGTTTCGGACAAATCTATTTCATGCAGTCGTCTATATGCAGACAGATTTCATGAGATATAGTCTAAGGAAAGATTTCGTACTAACGCATGTTTACCTTCGAGTAATATAGGCTACCAACCGGCAATCTCCAACCTACCCTGCTCTGAACTCTCCTTTTCAGCGGTTTCTCAGTAAGATGCATACTTTTTAGCGTCTCTCTCCGATTCCTGGACGCAATGTTCTTTGGTCTGTCTCTTTTCCTTTTACTATGAGGACTCTAAACAATGACTTGCTCTGTGATGCAGTCTGGTGATCACGCAATGTGTTCTATCCATCACCAGAAATTTCTCTCTATTTCCTCTTCAAGTAAAAGCTGGTTTGTTTTCTACTAAACTAAGTTGTTGCTGATGGTGTTTGGCCAATGAATCAGAAGCATGCCGTATAAACAACCATTTATAAATTCCCATATATTTTGAAGATGGGAGTAGTAGTTCTGCAAAATTCAGCTGCGTAAAATAGAATCATCTTGATGTTTTTATTAGAAAGGCTTGCCAGTCTACCCAAAATATCACTCATTACAAGCGGTAACATGACTCAAAATAGACAATGCACAGTGGTAGCAAGGAGACAGGGATTGAATAAGTTATATACAGATGCATAAGGTCTTAATTGCCTATGAAGAGAGTAGAGCTAGCAGGATGATAAAAATGACTACATTTCCACATGCTATCTGAGAATAGTACGTACAAATTTCTACATTGTAACCGACTGATTGACTACTGAAATCTGTTCAAAAGCCAGAATAAGTCATGTAGGTGTCCGATAGAGGAGAAGCTGTTTTTCTTATTCTACCCATATTAGAACGGCAAATAACACTAAGGATTTTTTGACATAGCATGAACACACTTGCCTATTTCTAGGCTAGTGACACATTGACCAGAATGAAATATGAATACGGGCAACACATGATCAAATAACCCGATTCAGAGCATGTTTGTAACCTTAGAAACTGACTTACCGAAATTACTGAGTAGTGATTGCTTCTATCTAACATTTGACATCAAAACATTTCTGTTTAACGTATTCCAGTTACAGCATATCCTCATCAACAATTTATGCTGCTCCCTAAACACTTACGAACTCTAATAGTAGGTAAGTATGACTTTTAAGGTTAGTTCCGAACCTTATCTAGGTATATTTTTACACACTACGGAATGTAGTAATTACATCTATATACAAAATACTCAGATGTATGTTGGAATAGGTTGTGTGGTGGGAGGTTGGGTATGAAAAAAATTTAAAAGCAGGAAGCCATTAAACAACAAATGAGGGTATCCGAACTTTCTAGAGAATGAACGTATACTGTCATAACTAATTTCAATGGTTTTTGCTGAAAAACTGCTTATTTTATCGTAAAACCTGTACAATAAGACACACTGTGATGCTAGCTATTTACGTATGCAATTCATATGACATTAAACTTAGATAAAATGGGAACTTAAACTACTGCGGATAGAGGGCAGTGATAAAACATGCAAAAACTCACCTTTTCTTTCAAAATAACCTCCCAGTAGTTGCGTAGAAAAGCTATAGCTGATTCCGGACGTTCAAAATGTGCCAAAGTGTATGTCTCCTGGGCAATAATAAGCAAAACTTAGGTATATGAAACTTACGTTACTGGTGGTGTAGATATTCACACAGTTCTCATCACGGACTTTAAGTTCGACGATTTGACTGTAAAGAAGTGTTGTCTAAAAGAAATGAATGATAAAAAGTTCATATACCAGTATTTTTCGCTTCGGACGATGGACAAGATTTAAGGCTGAATGACAAACATATAATTTAACAGGAGTATTTATATTTTGGCTAATTAAATCACATTTATAGGCTTAAAGAATGATTATGAGAATCAAAACAACAAACCTTTGACTACAGCATCATTCTTAAAGTATTTCTGTCGTATCTTCTTTTGCATTGCACTAGATTTTACAGAATCAACATTGCTGAGGAGCGAATTCTGGGGTTCAGTTTCCTGAATCATATATTCTGTTTGATAGAATAATTAAGGAAGAAACTTCAATGCACGATAAGAGGATGCGCTGGCCAAACCACCCGATGGCTCACAAGACCCTGTGGTCGATCATTATAACTGTCACCAATCGCCCTAGGTATCGCCCGATCGACCTTTCATAACCTTTACGAATGAAGGACAAATAATAATTGACTATTACAAACAAAGAGTTCATAAAATATTTTTTGGACGCTTATGCCTTAGCAAACCTGACGAAGGATCGCTTGATCGAACAAACATTTTCAGAGTGATAATATCTTATGATTCATAATATTGGGAACTGCTTGAACTTTCAAAAATGGTTATTCGCTTAAGCTGCTGGTTTTTCCAATGACTAAGCCCTAATTCTCGGGTTACTGAAAGTAAATGTACCGTAAGCGGTACGGCATTGTATTGTTTTGTCTGCAATGGATTTCCTCTGACCATGAACTTCTGAAGAAAAGATAATACTATCGGACGGCAGAGATGTCAAATCCAATACCCAATATCCTTTTCACGAGATAGAAGAAACCAGTTGGTTGTGGTCACCTGGGCAAGGAGGTTTGTCTTTTAACCTAGCCAGCCATTTAGGCTCTCCTCCCTGCACTCTATATAGGAAAACTATTTCTGTTGTAATGAGAGGCTGCACCGACATTTTGAACATCCTGGTAAGGCTGTGCTTGTTTTGCTGAACGTTGGTAATCATTCTGTGGTGTTTGCCCCAAGTTATGAAGAGTTGCGTTAGCCTAAGCTGATCCCCCTATGTAGTTCGAAGTTGTGTCCTGGGGTCGGAATCTGAGGAAACATCGTGCTCTAAGGGGCAGAATGTTCGTGAAGAAGTATTTGATCAGCATAGTTTCTAACCTGTTATCTAATACCAATTATCTAGTTGTTGCAATGTCGTTTCGAAGCTCAGTTGAATCCTCTCTGCCTCTTATGGACCTCTGGATTTTTACATCGTCTACAATGATTAGTGCCGCCGAGCTGAGTTTATATTAAAAGTCATTATTAAACATCAGGAAGAATGTTCGTAAGATGGTCCTCTGCGATACTCCTAATTCTTAGACTCAAATGCTGGCATCTATCCTGTTTACTACAGTGTCAAACTTCCTGTTCCGTAGGCGGTTTCTGCTCCAAAATAGAAGTGGATCAGTGAAGCATTTTTCCGAAACCTTTGTGATTAGCCGTACATGGGTTATAGTGTGGAAGGCCTAAGCGATGTCAAGTAAATACTTTATGAAATATAGGTTTTGGTCCAATCAGGTCGTCCAACCACCCCAAGATATGAGAAGATTGGATATACTCAGCATGCCTTTCCTGAACCATTGTAAGGCCCAATGGAGGACATCGGTCAACTTCGATAAACTCTCCCATTTTTGTATTTACCAGTGCTTCCATAAGCTTCAAAATTATTAACAGTGTGGTATGTACTCTCTTAAACGTGGCGTATAAGTAATTGCAGTAGAATGTCACTAAAGGATTACTGTTGAAGAAAGTATCCAATTCGGATTAACGGTGCGATCAAAGGGTTCTGGAGACTAGAAGATAAGTGAAAGAAGAAAACCAAAGGTGTATTTGTTCTGTAAATGAAGTTTTGAGGATAAGGTATATACATTTTGTCTTCAAAGTGAATCTTCTGCAAATAAATCACTTATTACTGTTTTAATTCCTTCATTCATTAAGGTAGTAACACCACTGGTTTCAAGCGGGAATCATTCATATCTACTCCTTTGAAGATCGGAAATAGAGCAACTTGTTTTTATCCACCTGGAAGCTCTTATAACTCCGGTGAATGCGTAAACAGGTCACTCACCAGTGAATTGAGGGCCTCCACACACTATTTCAGGATTACAAGACAGAGGTTGTCACATTTTGGGAACTTTTCCGGACAGAGAGATCGGAGTTTTCTCAGTTATAATGCTGGCGTAACTCAGACGTTCCCAGGTCATTCGGCTAGCACTGTGGTTGAGTAGTATTCTGAGCTTGTGAGCTCCCCATTTAACTGGTCGATTAAGTCGGCATTATAGATCTGAGCAATCTCTAAGTTCATAAAATCTTCCTTGCCGGTATTCGGAAGAAGACTTAAGTAAATTGTAACTTGGCAAACTAAATTATGGACTGTAGGTGTGCATAACCTAATTGTATGATTACTGATAAACTAGACTGTCAGGTATAAATATTCCTTTCATAATAAACATTCTACCACTCCATGAAATATTATCATATGAATTACTGCTCCTATTTTGTTGACATCTTAATATTTGCTGCCCCTCTATTCATAACTACATTTGACTTCTTTATTTTAGTTGTTGGTTTTGATTTATGGATTTGAGGTGGTGTGGTTTAGTGTGCATGTAAAGAAATGCCTGAATTAGCGTAACGGATTTTGGACTGATGGTCAATGATCTTCGTCCTTCCTCTTCAAGTTGGGGCAAGTCAATGTTCAGCCATCTTTCAAGAATAGAGTATCAAGTCATCTCATCTTTGCTGCTATTTGGCTACTCAAAGGTCGTCCGCATTTTGGATAATGTACAGAAACAACATTCGCAATTTAGATCATTAGAACATTTTGTTTGCTTTCGGCTCTTTAGATTAATGAGACGACTAATCAGTAACACTGAGGTTGCTCTTATACGCTTGCTACTTCTGTGGTTCATGTTTCCAAAACTATGCTGAGGTCGCTATTCTGTCGAGACACCTGCAACATTCTTACTCAGGCGCTAACAGTATGACTTAGAGGTTGGCATTCAATAATAAAAAAAAAAACAGTTAGACAGTGCGAGATTTTATTCGTCAAATTTTTATTTTTACAAACTCTACTCTTTCAACTAGAATTTCGATTTCAACGTACATAAATCCAGCTTCTTACTTCGACTTCTCTTCTGTCCACCTGACACTGCACAACTCTCCCTTCTTTTTGCTGTACTCCTTTATCTGTGCGTTATATTCTTATATTCCCATAATTTACTTTAATTTAAGTGGTCAGTATGAATTTTATCTTGACTTACTACTGTATTGACTACTTCAACATTACAGGTTAAGTAGTGCTTTGGTTATATATATACACTTGCCACACTGCTGCCTTTTCCTCTCTCTCTTCTCCTTTTCAGAACCCCATTCACGGTGGGAAATCCTTGGCGACTCTAGGGAACATGCACCCTATGTACATGACTGTCTGGATCACAGCTCGTATCAAGCGCGTTCCATATGACCTTTCCCAACAAATTCACTATTGATCTCGGCCAATCGCCAATGGAACCTATTGTGCACCTTCCTCATTTGTACTCTAATATTGAAAATGTGGCTGTATGATACTGTTTCTGTCAGTGACATGGTGTAAATATGCAATCAGAAACTGTCTCTTATACTTAATTTAACTGCTATAACTTTACAGTAATTAGGAAAGCATTTGTGACAATTTGATCTAGCCTGTAAACTGGCGTGACTCTTGTAACGTAGTTATTTGAGAATAAATTATTATTATTATTATTATTATCTTTGAGATAAATAATCCTGAGTTTTACAGTATTACTGAGTGATCTAGATCCTGGTGATTGATTTGTTGTAAATTTTGTAATTAAAGAACACATTCTTTCAGGGGTTACCAAAGGCTATGGATGAAAATTCAATAATTTCGCTATTTAGTTAAGTGAACTACAGTTCAGGCTTTAGACAGTTTTTCAAAGAGCTTTCGGAATTAGGTCCAATGATGATGGCAACGGCATGTTAACGAAATATTGATTTCTTCTGGGACTGGCAGAGGATAATGAGGCTGTTCTAGAGCTGCGTTGAGACCTGTAAAGAAGTCAGCACATATACCTATCGTGCCGTTGGCCTTCTTGATAACGACTATAGGTGCTGCCCAAGCAGAGTTAGAAACGGGAGTAATAACTCCTTGTCGTTGAAGGCGATCCAACTCTTCGTCTCTTGTTGCTAATGTTGCATAAGATACGGGTCTCTGTGGGCGGAAAGCAGGATTAGCCCCAGGTTTCAACCGAAGTGTTGCTTTCATGGCAGTGCACCGACCTAATCTAGGTTCAAAAATGGTTGACAACTCCGTCATCAGCTTCTTCATATATGATTCAGGGTCATGTGGTTGTGATATCGGGTGGCATATGGTATTTACCGGGACATCAGCCAATTTTAGCTGGTCGAACCAATCTAAACCAAGTAAATTTAGATCAGCTAGCGTTATATAACATACCCCAGTAAATGACGAGTATCGGAAAGTAACTTTAAGTTCCGATTGTTCTAACAGAAGAAGGTGATTACCACATGCTGTATGAGGCTTCTGTGTTGTGTGCTGCAGGCTTGGGCTACCCAATTTGGTCCAATTTTCGTGTGAGAGGATAGTGACATCAGATGCAGTATCTATTTGCAATCTACACAAATGTCCGTTAATATTAGGAGTAATAAATTTCCTCTCACCTGGTGATGAGCTTTGGCAGGAAGATATTAGGCTCAATGCATTGGTACTGGATCTAGGAACAGGCTTCTTAGCACTTCTGGATCGGTTTGGCTTTTTCTGTAGGCAAAAGCCATCTTTATGATCAATGAATTTACACTTCCTGCATCTATGTTGCCTAAATGAGCAGTTCCGTACATAGTGCCATGAGCCGCAGTGCCAGAAAGCAGCAGTGAGATTCATTTTGGATTTTTGGGCAGAGCTGGAGCAGGATGAAGTGGGTCTAGCATGGACAGACTTATTCCGATTAGGTGGCTGCTGTAACAAATGAACTTCAGATAGGCTTGAATTACCACTCTGAACTATGGTTGAGTCTCGTTTTAGGTTAATGAGACGTTGGTACTCATTAGCCATGTCATTAAATGTAAGCTTCGGATTTTGCTCCAACCGACATAGTAGCCTAGTTCTAGTGTCACTGAACTTATGCGACTGGAGGCTGCAGATGAGTATAAGGGCTTTAAACTGATCTTTCGACAAAGACTTCAACCGAAAGCGTTCGCATTCACGGTTGACTATGCCCACATGCGTAAGAAAATCATCATCTTCGTTCATAATTAGCTTCAAACATCGATAACGAGTAATAAATGGTGACGAGTTGTCGCACGTGATGATTTCAAAGTAGTATCACTGTTTCTTCTTTCAGAAGGTTTCCCAATGCTTCTTGGTGGTCTTTAGTTAACACCAT